ACAAAAGCTTCCGTGAAGTTTTGCCGGTAGCGTCAGGAATATCTCCGGTTCTCTGAGATCAGATTGTGCTGTCGGTCAGCTAAAAAGCGTTACCTGTTGACTGAAACCCTTCGTGACGGGAGATTAAAGCTGAAATCGGGCAGAGCACCCTGTAATTTGGAAGGGACTGTAGTTTCAGACCTTGTATTTATTTATATTTGCATTTATTGATAAATAACTTCAGGTCTGAAAAAACTAATTTTTGGAGAGGATTAAAATTGCCCATTTCTACAGTCTCTTCAGAGAGACAGCTTCCCTCTGCCCTTGCAGAGACCTGCTGATTTTCGGATTGGGGCTGATCGCAGGAAGGAAAGGCAGGCTGCGGTGGCACTAGTTTATCACACAAGGCAGATTAGCAGGAGAGAAGTTAACTAAGTTAACTAAGTAAACGTTCAGCTTGATCCATGTCAGTTTGGGCTTTAAGAAACAGATCGTATTTGACATGACTAAACTAATGATGTATCCTTTCTTGGGCTGTGTAGGGGTCTTAATGTAGTCTTTTGAGCACAAAACCAAAAATTTTGGTAGCTTGATCATTGCCTCTCTTGTAATGTACTTATTTGCAGAATTTGACGATGCAGCTAATTTGCTTGCAGCAAATCCCGACGCTACCACAATAAGCATCGACGAGCCAGTTGAAATCCCCAAGAATCAGCACAGCCGTCTGCCAGAGCCAGGGAGAGAAGAGGATGATGAATTACTGGGGACCGATGACTCCGATAAAACAGAGGTAATGCTCTTACACCTACAGTGCCTCCGTCGGTACATATACAAATGGTGCTGACAACACTGAGGAATTTCTAGAGCATACCGGGGATTCATGCTGGGTGACTTAAAACTCTGCTTCTTCTCTGTCACAGGTTACTTTCTCGATAGCAGAGTTGGCAGAAGCAAACGTGCGTTGGCTCTTCAGCTGCTGTGGTTTGCAGCCTCGGAAATTGAACTGAAATGGTGGTGATTTAAGCTAAGCAAATATGACAGGAGATGAGCACAGCAGCAGCTGAAAGCCCAGCGCCATGTTTGTTTCTGTCGGTTCTACTCTGGGGTTGTTGACTCTGGCAGGAGAGCAGGAAACTTTGAAGGGCTTGTCTGAAGGCTCAGCTAATGCAGCCGTCAACAACAGCGAGGGAACTTGTGATGCCGATGAAGGCATGTGTTATAATGATGTGGTGGAAGGAGCACCTGGCTGCTCTTTAGAACCCCAGGCCACTATTCTGCTTGCAGGGAGATAAGACTAGCTGCTGCTAACAAACATTAAAGGGGGAAAGGGAAACTGTTAAATAATTAAATAGTAAGCGCCACCTGTTTTCTATCCGGGTACAGAAGTCATTTAACTATTGTGTAAATGAACTAGTAATACATAAATTGCATGCTTGTAATGTTTTTCATGTTGCCTTTCCCCCCATACAGCTGCTTGCAGGACAGAAGAAAAGTGCCCCTTTCTGGACATTTGAGTACTACCAAACGTTCTTCGATGTGGACACTTACCAGGTTAATACTCCACTCCAGAGGAGAACTATTGTCTGAGCTATGCTTTATCCAGATATTGAGGTTTTTTCTGGTTTGCATCTTCAGTCAGACAAATCTGTATGTTTTCATAGGTCCTGGACAGAATCAAAGGTTCGGTTTTCCCAGTACCAGGGAAGAACTTTGTAAGGCTGTATATCCGCAGCAATCCTGACCTTTACGGTAGGTACAAGGTGTGAGAAGTTCTCTTCGGTGCTAAATGTTTTGAGTTTGTATTCCCTTTTACTTGCTAACCTTAAAAAACAGAGGGCAGGGGAGTCGTTATTGAACCCGTTTGTTTCCTTTTAAGGTCCCTTTTGGATATGTGCCACACTCGTCTTTACCATTGCTGTTAGTGGCAATCTCTCTAACTTCTTCATCCATCTGGGCAAGCCGACATACCACTATGTGCCCGAATTCAGAAAAGGTTTGTAAGTAGTCAATACAGTCCTGAGTTTGGTGGGGGTTTTTTGGTTTGGTTTTTTGGGGGTTTTTTTGTTGTTGTTTGTGGTTTGTTTTTTTTTTTAATGTGCTAGTGAAGTAATGTAAAAGCAGGTCACAGCTTTGATTTAGCAGAGTCTTTTGATTGATTGCTTTATTTAAATTTTTAGAGATGTGAAACAAGTCCTTGAAGTGGGCTGTAACTGGCAGAACCCTACTCCTCCGGAGCAAGTAGTTACAGGGTTTTAGTAGAGCAGGCAGGAGTAATTAATGAATGCCCCCTTGTACAGAGAGTGAAAGCCCAGCAGTGACCATTGTGGTGCTCTTTTAGGTGCCTTTCTGGATCCATGGCCTCCTAGGAGCCTTCAGGCCTCAGACAGAAAATGACTGAATTAGAGTATTACTCATATCACCTACCGAGGGCTGGAAGTTGTTACCTTCTGGCAAACTCGAAAATAAGCAAAAGATGCTCAACTGATACGTGCCCCAGAGAACTCGGAGCGAGAGGCCAATTGTCTATACTTGTCCTTGTAGTTTGAAGGAGACCGCTGTCCCTGCAGAGGAACATGGCTTCTGTTTGTTTCCAAAATCCACAGCGTACTTGGAAGAACACTGCCATTTGGGAACCCAGTCACTTCAACAGTTTCAGATTTGACACTCGTGTCTGTGTTCCCTTTCAAATTTTTTAGCATGTCTGCATTCTGTTCTTATTTTTCAGTAGCTGTTAGTAGCTGAATTTCTATTTTTAACTAAGTTTTTCTTTCCTATGTTGCTCTTCCTTTCACACTGAAACTGGTAGCGTTTTGTACACAGCTGTAATAAAGAAATTGAAAATAGCAGGAGAATACTTTCTGGAGTCTTTACTTTTGGACTAACTTGAAGTACTGGCGAAGTAGTGGGTGTAAAGTGGATGTAAATGCAAAGTTCTCAGTTTGTTAATAATTCATACTTTATATTTTGAAAGTAACTTCAAAGGTAGCTTTCTAGTTTTCAGGCTAAACGCTTCTACATTTGATTCTTACTGGTATTCTAAGTAAAATGTGAAATCTTTTGTCATATTTCCAGTCTCCATAGCAGCAACAACGATTTATGCATACGCTTGGCTTGTTCCCCTTGCTCTCTGGGGATTCTTGATGTGGAGGAACAGTAAAGTTATGAACATTGTTTCCTACTCGTTCCTGGAGATAGTGTGTGTGTATGGCTACTCCCTCTTCATTTACATTCCCACAGCGGTACGTATGACCTAAAGAGTGCACCTCTATTACATGCCCTGCAAAAAGATCCTGGTTTAGAAAATTTGCTATTTCTTATGATATTGTTCATATTAGTCAAAATCTTTGGGACCGGGCAAATCATTTGCTCTTTTTGCTTGGCTAGAATAAAGCTTTTTGTTTAAGCTTGTCTAATGTAAAGATGTCATGTGGGTCATGGAAAAGCCCAGGACAGGTCATTTCCCCAGAGGCAGCAAATCCAAGCAGGGGTGCTGCTGGCGAGCCTGGCAGGCAGCCTGAGGCAACTTCAGGAATTGGGATGTGTGTGTCAGCAGGGTGCAGGCATTAGTGCATAGGATGGCAGTGCTGATGGCTCTGAGGACAAGTTTCTTTGGCAGGGACCATCCTGGGCCACTCTGGCAAGGGACAGGCCTTGGAGGGAGTGCCGTAACTCAGGGGACACACTCTTGTCATGTCCGGGAGTAAAGCTCATCGCTGCTGATACTCTTTCCTCAAATAACAAAGACGTATCAGATAAGGCATGAGTTAACTTGTGCACAAATTGGCCGGAGGTAATGAAATGTCACAGAACAATGACTTAAATAAATGAATCCGCATTTCACATGGTCTCTTTAACAATCGTTTTCCTCCCTTTTACAGATTTTATGGATCATTCCACAAAAAGTGGTGCGCTGGGTCCTGGTGATGTTCTCCCTGTGCCTTTCGGGGTCTGTTTTGGTGATGACCTTTTGGCCTGCTGTCCGAGACGACAACCGAAGGATTGCGCTGGCAACCGTGGGGACCATTGTTCTGCTTCATGCCCTGCTGGCTGTCGGCTGTTTGGTATGACGCTGCCTTTCCTTTTCTCTAACCTGTTATTTCTTGGGACTGGTGACATGTTACAGTGCAGGGAAGGAGGGGTTGCTCCTTGCTGGAAAATCTTTTTTAATAAGGGAAGAAATAGTACTTCTGAAAAACGTCCAAAGTAAAAGTTCTAATTATTTCAAACATAGCAAAAATTGATGCCAATCTGACTTTGACAGTGCCAGTAACAAACTCAATAATGAATATGTCTTTAGCACAAAATCATTCACAGAACAGTCTTAAATTTATCTGGAATTCATCATAGTATCAGCAAAGCGTTAATCTTTATTGTATCCGGTCGCAGCTTATTCCAATGAGTACTATGCTTAGTTAGGCCTTTAAAATGATTAAGTATTCAATATGTAGTGTGTGCTTATGAGTTTTATGTATGAAAACATAAACCTGCTAGAATTTAGTAAAATATCAACGTTATGAAAACAGAAGACCCTAATGCTACTGAAATACATAGTGATGAGAACTTAAATTATTTGTTGTCTCTTTGCTGCAGTAGGTAGAATGATATCATCCAGGCTTCAGTTCTGTTCCACCCCAAGTTCCAGAGTAGATAGGTTTGGTTCCCCGCAGCTCAGCATGCAGGGAGGCGAAAGCAAAACACAACTCTCGTGTCAGCAGGAGACTGGCAGCTGACTTCACTGGGGCTCCTGTCACTGGAGACTGCCCGGAGCTTCATCAGTTAAAACAGCAAACAGTCAAACAAAGTTCTGCAATCCAATCCCTTCCAGTACAGGTCTTTTTCAAAGGCCTTAGCTGCTAACTGTTATATTTAAAAGTACAGTTTAGAGCACCATTTTAATTGACTGTTTCTACTCTGGTAAAACCAGAAAAGATCCAAATTTGCCATTTCAATGCTGTGTTTGTAACACATTAACAGTGGGTGTGGAAAGAAAGAGCTGGGATGAGGCAGAACTGTTTGTTTCTCTCTAAACAGTTTCTTTCTCCTTTGATTCTATGATTCTATGATTCTATTCTATGTAATAATGTAGGCATACTTTTTTGATGCCCCTGAACTGGATTTTCCTGCACCTATTATCCCTGCTCACAATGGAACAACAGTAATAACAAAGAGTCAGTAAATAAGGTAAGAATCCAATCTAAACTTTCTTCTGTAATCATCACAGACATCTCAAAACTTTTCCCCATTACTATAGTTGAGTGGAAAAGGGTTTAACAGACCAATTTTGCCAAATGGCACCTATATATAAATACCATTTAATTAACTTTTCTTTCAGTTGTAATTTTTAAGTATAGCCATAAAAACATAAAAGACTCTGAGGAAGAAAGACATGTTATCTTTCTTTCCTTTGAGGTTTACCCTTGGCGAAGAAACACACACTTAAATAATCTACTCAGTCTCATAGGTCTTTTCAAAGATTTTTTTTTTTTTCCCCCCTCAACCCCTTATAAAAGTCCAAAAGTGTTTGTTAGAATTTGTACTGTGCAAGTAAAACTTAAGCAATAAACCATTATACTCCTATTTCCCTTTCCATTTAATGTTAAAAGTAAGTTGGATTTTTTTCCCCCTTGATGTTTGTGACAATGCGTTTCAGAGCAGCAGCTCTGTGTACAGGGACATCCGTGTACTCTCAGAGCAGAGCTGACTCGGAGCCTGAGCCATCCATACAGACTGCATTCCTTGTGTGGGATGGTTTGAGGCTTTGCTTCCTGGTAGCTGGGAGTGCTGCCAGCAGCAGATGACATTTGAATTCTGTTGGAGACATGAGATGTGGAGCAGGTCCAGGAAAAGGCTAATAGACATGCAGAGGCCAGGCCTCTGCAAGTATACCAGCCACAAGTGTGGATGTCGAGATCAGAGTATTTACTGACTAGAAGCTATATTAGATTAAAAAAAAAAATAATGGCCAAGTATGCCTAGCAAAAATGATCATAAAAAATTACCAGCTGTGACACAATCTAATCATGCAGATCAATTTTAGAAGCTTTCCTCCTGCAAAATCAGTTTCTCATCCCAGGTGCCTATTAAGATTCAATATGATAGTAATGAATTTTGGTATTCAGATATAAATATGTGCCTTATTGTGTCCTCTGGTGCCTGTGAGGAGCTTTAGTATTCATAGCGGTTATTTGTCTCTTTCAGATTACAATGCCTGTTCTCCATCTGTACAGTAATTTTATTTTAGATTATTTTTTCATTGAAGAACATGGGAAGTGCAAGAACGGGGGATGTTTTTTGTTTTAAAAAAAAAAAAAAAAAAAGCCCAGTGATGTCCCCTGGACTTAAACATCTCTGTGCTCACTGGAGACTGACTGGTTCTGTAAGGAGGGTGAACTGTTGATCTCAATCCTGTACAGCAGTTTTTCTTGTTTTAAATTCTGTCTGCACTCACCGCGTTATTTTGCCTCTGAATAAAGTGTTCTGAAGGCGATTTCCGACTTTGTTCGTGATCTAACGCTCCTCCTCCAAAGGAGGGTTTGGCAGAGGTGCGGAGGCGAGGCCGGTGTTACTGTTGAACCCCCGAGGCACGCGCGTGCAGCCACCCAGCACTTTCAGCAGCGAATGCCGCCTTGAAAGCGGTTCACGCTGTTCCTGCTGCTTTCCCGGGCCCGGCTGCCTTCTCTCCCCTCAGCCGTCCTCTCCCTCCCCGGGGGCGGTCACGTTTCCCCTTGTCCCTGGGGCCGGCACTGAGGGGCCCTGCTGGACCCCTGCCGTCGCGCAG